AATCAAAAAGAGGGGTTTTGAGTTGTTTGAAAAGTGTGGTGGTTTGGGACAGATTCTGGTTGCATGTGGGGTTTGTGATGTTGCTGAATTTCATGTTGATGGTATGACTGTTTTCTTGTAAGTGTAGGTGTTGGGTCTTTTGAATTGTAAGCTTTGATGGATTTTGGGTGAAAAGCATGTGGGAAGCCATGGGAGGGTAGGACGTTTTATCTGGAACGCTGAATTGAGCGCGGAAGTACTGGGACTGGATGATCGAATTGGGTCTCAGAGTCTTCATGAAAGTTGTATTCTTGGATGTTAGTTTTTCAATGACATCGGAATCACCTAAAACGGAGGTCTGGAACTCCAAATATGTTTTTTTAGTGAACAGGGGTCAAGCTGTCAGTATTGGCCATAGCTGTTGCGTTTTTTAATTTTTTTAACAGAGAAGATTGTAGAATTATGAATTGATATCTTCATAAGAGTTGTAGGAAATCTTCTTATCTTTCATATGAGATAAGGATGAGCATGATAGGAGTTGTATAACTCCTGATATGTCTGTTTTAGTGAACAGGGGTCAAGCTCTCAGTATTGGTCATGGCTGTTGCGGTTTTTAATTTTTTAACAGAGTAGATGATGGAATTAGGACTTGATGTCTTCATGAGAATTGTAGGAAAACTTCTTATCTTTTATTTGAGCTAAGGAAAAGGATGACAGAAGCAGTATAATTTCATTTATGCAGTTTTATGTGAAGGTTTCCATTTCACAATAAGTGATTTGGTTAAGTTGAAATTTATTTTGGGTGTTTAGGTTGATGTATGTTGTTTATATGAGTAATTTGACTTGATAAATGAGCTGTAAATCTGTAGTATGAGTTGCATTATGTGATGAAAATGTGTGTGTGACGATATAAGCGATAAAGTGTTGAATAATAATGATTGTTGTAGTATGATGATATATATATATATATATATAAATAAGGGAATATTGATAATCTTTTATGGGTCGGGCTTGAATTTTTTATTGGCCAAAGATTCCAAAAAAAACGGAATACCTAAAAAAAATTCAATGCTAAAATCAAGATGGACTCGTATCTTTAGAAAAATAATAAATGAATAATAATTTTATCTCATTTTATGTAATTATTTATACTGATCATAATAAACTTTGGTATTATGGACCTTGTTCTCTGATTACCAATTAGGTAATGCGGACTGATAATTGATTATTCTTTAAATTTACTTGCTTTCTTCATTAAATACTTAATTCTTGTCATATTTTTTTAGGCTTAATAGCATCAACTATCTCGTTCTGTTTGGCGATTGAAAGTGACGAGCTAACGTGAAGGAGATCTATCTTGGTCTTTTCAAAGGATGAGAGGACCTATATCAAATTGCGGGGATAAATAACTTTGTTGAACTTTAACGTCAGAGTGTCGATTATCTTAACTAAAGTTATCAAAACGGGTCAACCCAACTCATTTGACCCAGCCCACCAAATTTATTAGCTCGGCTCGACCCACAATGGTTAGCCCACCAATTAGGGGTGTTCATGGATAGGTTTTTTCAAAAAATCAATCCAAACTGAACCAAACCGTTTTATAAAAGTGGATCAGTTAATTGATCCATTTTTTATAAAGTAGATCGGTTTGGTTTTTTAAAATATGGATCGATTTTTTTGAAATTATATCGGTTCGGTGCGGTGCAGTTATCCACTTTTTTACTCATATATGGATCGGGTTTTTTAGAAAACCAAACTGAACCGAACCGATCCACTTTGTAAAAATGGATTGGATAACTGAACCGGTTTTATAAAGTGGTTCGGTTCGGATTTTTTTTCAAAATGGATCGGATTTTTTAATATGGATCGGATTGGTTATGGATCGGTTCGGATCAATTTGGATTTTTTGCACACCCTTACCACCAACCCACCTAATTTTTTTTAAAAAAATTATAATTAAAATACTTAAATTAAAGTGTGTAAAAAAGTCAAAACAAGAAAATAAAAATCCTTTCGTGAGAGTGATTATTCATCAATATTAAATTTTATTGGAGGTTTGAGTAGATAAATTTATAGCAGTTTCATGTTGTTTATCAATGATTTTATCTTTATCTATAAAAAAATGATATCTTGTTAAAATAATACACATATAATAATAAATAGTTAAGTGAGTTGTTAGTGGGTTGGATTGATGGACTAGTAAGTGGATTGGATGGGTAGACTGACCCACCTCGGGCTCAACCCAGGTGGGCCGAGTTGAAAGTGGACCAGGTCACATTTTTTTACCCATCGTAATTTTTTTCTTCCAATCTAACTTGTTTTCAAGATGGGTCGGATTAGCCCACAAGAACTCACTTTAACAGTTCTAATCTCGACTATCGAAGTGGTCGAACCCAAGGGCGATGATGTGGTATGCACTTTTCCTATGGTATTAATTTTGTTTTTCGTGATTGAACAAAAGGTTGACATGTGACTTTCAACTCCTCTTTAATATATATATATATATATATTTATTTATTTATATAATTTTTTGTAATATTTTATTTTGATAGTATGGTATATATGTACATGATTAATATATAATTAATCATTAGGGATGATTTTAACAAAGATTATAATTAATTTTAAAATTTTATTATTTTTTCACTTAAAATTTTATTATTAATGCGTTTATAATCATATTATTGAACAATAAATGGTTAAATTGTTCTTAATTTAGGTGAATTTTTTTAAGGGAAAATTTCTCTAAATATTAATATTTTTATATAATAAACCTAATATATATATATATATATATATATATATATATTAAATTTAATAAAATAATAATTAATACTAAGTAAAAATAAGTATTTTATTTAAATATATTTTTAAAAATTAACACCTATTAAAGACTACCTTAATATTTATGAATTATGATTGATCATAGTCTTCAATTTTTAACCATGAAATTTTAGATATTAAATTTTAAAAGATTCACAATTCTAATTTCAATGTTAACTGTTTGAATGTTCATTTAAGTTGTAAGATTGATCATGACATGTGATTAAATAGATACTACAATAACTAATATCTAATAACATTTAAACTAAATTATATTTTTCTTCTCCAATTTATTACTAGTTTTTATGAGATATAAATGGGGAATAAAAATATAATTTTGCCTATATATTACTATTATATACTAATTGTTATAATAATCACTTAATGACATATCAATATATCATAATCAGTGAGGAGTGAATGCAAAAATTTCAAGCAACAGAGACGTTTTACAGTCATTAAATTTTAATATTTCAAACTACATTTATTTTATTTTATATGTATATTTGAATTTTTTAATCTTATAACTCTTTCAATATATCGTCTTTAAGTTTTATCACTAAATTTTAATATATTTAAATATTTTTTAATAGTTTAGATAACTTTTTTATATTATCATTCAAATGGCTGATTATAAATTTAAATTTAAATTTATATATTGAAATAATTTATTTATTATAAATTATAATATAGTATAAGTTGTGGAATGAAAAATATTTTGTTATTTAAATTTTAATTATATAAAATAAATACATATTATCTATAATTGTTAATAAAGAAAATATATTTTTAAATAA